AATATTATTTTATTAAATATAAAGAATTTTAAAATAATATAAATAATGTTGTAATCTTCAAAATAGAAAATATATTGGAGATGAATATAATTCTTGTTAGAGATTCGTTCACAAGTTATGGAAACTGGTTTCGGGTTTGCAAATGCAAATACTTGTCAAACATCTTTTTGTTTGCCTTCACTTTAAATCGTAAACAAAAGCCAAAGTTTAACAAACGAGCATGTGGCGAGAATTATCGATAAAATAAATGACGTAATATAAAAGATGACAGTGAACTTTCCGTTTGTCAATAGTTTGGATACTTTTTTGGTGAGAGTTTTGCTCCTATTCGTTTATTTGGACAAAAAGTTAATTACCGGCTATCCTAACAGCCTCACACGAACCCTCCAAGAAGAACACCAATGTGAAGGCGTTTTTGGCTCAAGCGGTGGTTGAGGCTAACGAGGGTCTAGGATCAAACTCCGAACCTGTCTTGTATTTGGACAAAGTCATCATGCTCCTTTAACAACTGAACTACACACCACAAGACCTATTCGTTTATTTAAGCTTGGAATCTTTGTGGTTTGGGTTAATTAATAAGACCCGTTAAAAAAATAAAAGTAAAATTGACAAAAATAAATCTATAAAATTTTTCGAAGGGCATGGAGGTTGTATTAAGAAAATATAAATCACATTGTGAGCCATGTAGAATTCGAAGATGTTTAAGGTTAATGTTTGGATTTTGAAGTTGTCCATGAATCAAATTGCTGGTAGTATTCAGTTGACAAAAAAACAGTTTATAATACTCAGACAGTTTGTATAACATAAAAGCTCAATCCAATTCCAACCGCACAAACCCCACCGCTGGATCACCACTCTTCTTCTAGTCCATCGCCATTTTCACCGACCACCAAGCCATATCACTAGTTCTTCTACACCTAAATCAACTGCAATATCTTCGACAATCTCATGCGTTTTTGGCTATAGCTTCAGGCCGCCATCTCAAGCCACATATGTTGAGCTCGTGCATGTCAGTGTGTCACCATGTCTATCTTATTGGGCCATGCAGAATGTCGTGTATCTTTGTAGATCGGCTGAATTCTACGCACTTTCTGATGATGGATTTGAAGCGTAACGAACTCCAAAGGAATTAATTCGATTAATGCTAGAAAATAAGCATTCTGTGAGATTATAAAGGTTTTTTAGAAATAAAATACAGACAGGTACAAATTACTTTGCTGATGGTGATCTTCAAAACCTTTGTTAGTTTAAAAGGGGATATTTAAACAATATAGACAAAAGGCCTATTAGCTCAGCTGGTTAGAGCGTCGTGCTAATAACGCAAAGGTCGCAGGCAGGTTCGAGACCTGCATGGGCCAATTTTTAATATAATATCTTTTTGATTTTTTATTTTCGACCCTTTTGTTTTGTATTAAATCATTTTTTGTCCCTTATATTATACGAAGATAAAACAAAACCCCCTTGACCTTTTCGTGAAACCTGACTAGGTCCCCCTGAATGACTGGATTGCCCTTTTCTTGTACTTTTTGATTATATATTCGTTTTCTCTCGTTGATTTTTCTTAATCTTTTAATATCTTAAGTTTTAGTTTTTTACTAGAAGTGTATTCGTGCAATGCAACGAGAGATATCTCGATTTTAATGTTTCATTTTATTCTGTCCCCTGTTGATGTAATAATACGATTTTATGTGGTTATGAGAAAAAACAATAATGTTTTTATTTTTTAATAAAATATAAAAACGGAGATATCTTAAAATTTTCAAAACAATATATCAATATTAGTATCAAATTAACTATTTAAAAGTTCTTGTTTTGTTGTATAATTTCTTTAATTCAATTTCTTTATTATTATAATTTAATTTAAGTTTAACAAAGTAATTTATTTTTTATTTAATAATATTTTTTGTTATAAAGATAATAATTAAGTATTCTGTTATAATAGAGTGATTATTCTAATTATATTTTAGATTTTTTATTTTTAAAATAAAATGTTTATCCAGTATTTGATCATGTTTATCTGCAGTTAGTTATACGAATTCAAGTATGAAGCTCTAATGATTAGTATTCTGTTAGAACTTAATGATTATCCTAATTATATTTTAGATTTTTTTATATTTAAAATGAGATGTTTATCATATATTTGATTAAATTTATCTATAGTTAGTTACACGAATTCAGATATGGAGCTTTAATAAGTTGTATTTATGCATAATCTACTTGCAATCTTGAGTTTTAAGTAATATGCATTAATAAACAGTATTTTACGCTTAAAAAGTAGTTTTTAAGAGTTTTTGTCAAATGCTTTATAAAATAATATAGATATGTAGTCTAATTTATTTGTTTAATACCATTAACTCAATTGAGCAATACTAGAAGGGTATTCATGTAATACAACGAGATATATCTCGATTTATTCAGTTTTTGTAGATGTTTTTATGTGGTTTTGATAAAGGAATAATGTTATTATTTTTTAATAAAATATAAATTTGAAGATATTATAAAATTTCGAAAAAAAAATAATTCAATTTTTTAATTATAATTTAATTTAGATTTGATAACGAATTAATTTATTTTTGATTTAATAATATAATTTTTATAAGAATAATAATTAAGTATTCTGTTAGAACTTGATTATTATCTTAATTATATTTTAGATTTTTTATATTTAAAATTAAATGTTTATCTTATATTTGACAATGTTTATCTGCAGTTAGTTACACGAATTCATACATGAAGCTCTAATAACTTGTATTTACGTACAGTTTATTTGTAATCTTGCATTTTAAGTAATATGCATCAATAAATGGTATTTCATGCATAAAAAATGGTTTTTAAGAGTTTTTGTCAAATGCTTTATAATATAGTATAAATATCGATTTGTCACCATAAATCCTATTTTAGAACATCTTCAACAGCTTTTTTATAATAGAAAAAATTAATTTTTTTGTTATTTATAATATTCCAATAGTTTCTTTATTTAATTCTCTAAAATAGAAAATTATAGAGAAAACTCTTAATACGAAGAATTCTCTAGAACTTTAAAGAAATGAGTTTTTTTTATTTATTCCACAAACAAGGGTTAAATTAATATGATTTTATATATGTAAAAAAATTGAAAGTGTATTGAGATCAAACAATTATAGAATATTTAAATAATATAATTAAAGGAAAATTATTAAAATAACCATTTTATATAACCCACTATAACAAAATAACCATTTTTCAGAGGTTTTGTCAAACTAACCACCCAAATCGCCCCCCAAGGGCGATCCACCCCCAGGTGTGAGCCACGTCATCCTATCTCCCCCCGGGGGCGATCTGGCCCTAAGTATTTTTTTTCTTTTTTTTAATACCAATTTCACTATAAATACATTACTTCACAATTTTTCACATTTTCTCTTTCATTTCTCTTCTCATATATTATATTCTCACAACCCCTAACCCTTCAACACAATAAATCATCACAATCTTTAACCCATTAAACACAATCAACCATCACAAAACATGAAATCACGTCAAAGTGATGATGTTTGTGTGTATCTTCGAAGTGGCGGTTTATTCTAAAATATAAATGGTGTTGTAGAGTACCTTCCGATAACCTTCCTCACATATTCATCAAATTAAATGGACGGTTGAGATTGAGTTATATTGATTGTACAAATCGACGTCATAGAGGTGTCATAACATGAAAAAAAAAAAAAAGGTGAAACGCGGTCAAGCTACGTAAATCAGATATAATGTCTGATTTTTTCTCCAAAAATCAACTAAAAGTAATTTTTTCGTAACCACAATTATCATTGTCTTATTTTATAACGAAAAACCATGAAATTTTAAATTAAATACGTTAAAAAACACAGTTTATGTATTGTTTCATTTTTATTAAAAACATCCCTTAATTGTCAAATCAAAAACACAAAATGACGAAATAGAGGTCAAATTTCGTAAATCAGATATTATATCTGATTTACGAAATCCAAATCAGATAAAAATAATTTTTATGTTTCCATAATTATCATGGTTTATTTTTAAACCTTTACCCATGAAATTTGGTTAAAAAAAGTTAAAAAAATACAATTTAAATGACGTACCAGTTTATTAAAAATACCGCAAAAAAATTTGAAAAACGAACCAATTCTAGGCTGGATCTCCCCCAAGGGGAGGGATGCTGACGTGGCTCGCCCTTGGGGGCGATCGGGATGACATGGCTCGCCCTTGGGGGATCAGGGTGAGGTGGCTTAAAGTGGGATCTACCAACATTTTTTTTTCCCTGGGGCGATCCATGTAGTTATTTTCCCAATGTCTATAGAAAGTGGTTATTTTGTTATAATGGGTTGTATAAAATGGTTATTTTGATGATTTTTCCTATAATTAATGATGAAATCTTTAAAATTAAAAATCCATTGAAGTTGATTGTAATTTATTTTAAAGATATTAATTTTTGTTTCTGTATTTTAAAAAAATTATAAAGAATGTATTGGGCCTCGACATCATAAGACTTGATATCTACCCCACTGCTGGGTTACATCTCAAAAAATATGATTTGAAATTTCAATGAGATTCAATCCCCATCAACATAATTTAATGCTGAAATCAACGATGCCGTTATTTTCACATAAAACGGTCAGAAGTGGTAACGAATTAAATTGAAAATAAGACGCAACATATAAAAAGTGGAAGTTATTGTCAAACTCATAACGTTGGAAATAAATGATTCCATCCACAATTTTGGAAAATTGAGATATGAAAATGAAAATGAAATTTGGTATTTAATTCAGTGTCAATGGGAACAAAAATACGTAGAAAAAAAATATTCTTGAATAAGAAGCCATCATACATCAACTATCACTATAACTTAAATTTAATTTACTTACTTTACTTACTATGCATTTCTCTCCTTTTTTTCTGGAAAATAAAATAGAAAAAAAAAACAAATGAACTTTTTAAGAAACAAAATCAACTCATCATCATCATATCTAATTTAACCAAACAGTAATAAATACCTTTTTCGTGTTACAAACCCATTGCATTCATTTCATTCTGCACTGCTCTTATCTGCAATACAATTAACCAAAATATGTTTACACATTATATTTCCTTTACAAATTTGGCAGTTGTTGAGTGGTTTGTTGCAAAATGATCAAGTGGCTTTCATGATATAGTAGAAAATGAAATATAATTGTTTACAATGAAATCAAGGCGCTTAATGGTTAAGAGAGGCTCAGGATACAAAATCATTCAGAGGGTTTTAGAACCATTAAAAGACAAACTTTTTTTTTTGCAATACAAGATTCACCTTTTAATGATTCAGATGTTGCCACTTAATGGAACTATTAAGACGTAAACAAACAACCCCTTAGTTTATTTGTTTCTAGAAGTTATATACTTTAGTTATTCAGCAACTTAATAATTTAAAATGGAAAAGTTCAATGGCTTATTTATTTGAAAATGGTACCAAAAATTTAAACATCTAAAATGAGAAAATTTATTGTATTTTTCCCGATAAAAAAAAAGTATATAACCCTGCAAATTTTGATAATTGTCCAAAAATAAGAGACAAAAATGGTTTTTTTATTGGCCAAACCTATAAAATTAAATGTATTTGTCATTTCATGTATAACTTATTGGGATATTAAACCTATAGAATATTTTGATAATATGCAAGATGGAGAAACTTTGGAGCCGAATGAAAATTTTCGAAGAAATTATAGAGAAGATGTTGTTAGTTACCTCGTGCTAGGGTTGCCGAGGGTGAGCTCAAGATCGTCAGAAACGCATTCTTCATGTATCCTCTCACCTTCCCACGGTTTCACCAGACCTTTCATGTGACTCCCAAAAGCAAACTCCGATGAAATTGCATCAGACATAGGGACGTCAGCCGTTTGGTCGAAGCTAGCAGTGATAGCTGGAGAGCAAGTCCCACTTTGCCCCGGAGTCCACATTCTCGAGCCGGTACCTGAAACTGCAAATGGGTTTGATGCAACGAGACTAAATGTGGGTGATGACGGCCCTTCTATGGGCGTTTGAACCCCCGAAACCCACCCTGAATCTGTTGGTGTTTGATGGCTGGGACTTTGAGGGGTCGAAGAAAGTAAGAAAGGGTAGTGCTGGCCAGCCCAGGCTGGGACTGTGGTTTGATGATCATCAATGTCGGTCATTCTAGGTGTTCGGCAAGTAGGTGAGCTTAATGGAGGAGTGACAGGAGCACTTATGGAGCCACCGGGTATGTAGAGATGGTGAGGGAAGTTGGATGAAGGTGAAGAACCAGATGAAAGATTCTTTAGCCATGGTATAAGAGAATTAGGATCGGGATTTCCATTAGCCGCATAAAGGGATGAGATGGAGCTGGGAAAAGAGGATGAACTAGGGTTCAGACTGTAGGAACCGTTTGGACTCGGTTGGTATGATGAGCATGGACTAGCCGAAGCTGATCCACCCGTAGCCTCCACACGAGCAGTGGGTTTACAACCCTACACAAGTACAAAGACAAGCAGAGCAAATTAGCAACTTTCTCAAATCTCAATGATCATCTAACCTTGCTTCCACTTTGTTCACACTTTTTAATAGATTTTTCTTTTTTGCCAAAAAAAAAGCACCAAGTTGGTCGGATAACCTCAAAAAAAACATTCTAAAACCGTAGTGGAAGTTATTTGTAGCCCATAACTTTGAACTTGTAAGGAGCTCACAAATCTAATTATTAGGAATACAAATACAAATTGATTAGTCGTATTCTCTAACCCCCTTCGAATCTAATTCCCAAAACCTCTCTGGAGAAAACAAGAGCACGCGTAATACTCCTACTCAATCCATCATCAGTAAGGGGCATACAAGAGCATTTAAGTTATCATCAACATCTTCTTTAATGGCTTCCTCAATACCAACGATTTCGAATCTACCAACAAGTTCTATTACGGTTTATAAAAAATAAGGAAATCATGGGAGGAAATCATTCATGTCTTGTGACCTTAGGGTTCACTTCTTGCTTCTGGGTTGCACCATTCTAATAATTTCTTTTGGTTTCAGTTTTAGCCTACACCAACTAGCTTGGGATAAACCACTTGGGTTGTGTTGTACTAATTAAGGTTTCAGGAGGATATAGTGGAAATCTCATCTTCCCCAGGTTCTTTGACTGAAGATAGTAATCTCATTCAATGTAGCATCAACCAAATCTGCTCTTGATCACCATGAAATCAAAGAAGGATGTTTGAACTACCATCAATAATCAACAAATTTGAGTTTCTTTTATATACAGGCTTATTTGAAGCCAATCATCACTCGAAGTAAAATAGCTACTCCAGTCTCTAGGGCTGTACAAAAACCGCCAACCCACCCTGCCCAAGCCGCAAACAATCCAATTAAACTCGGACCGTTAAACCATCAATTAATAGGATGAAATTGGGTTAGGCCCAACCCAACCCAACCCAACGCTAATATATAATTTTGATAAAATTTTATTTATATTTATATACAATAGAAAATTTTATTTTTATTTACCTAGTTTAAACCTCATTATTGTAAATGGTCATTTTTGAACACCATTTTCTCCATTTCTTTGCCTAATTCTCGTTATCCATTTACATGTTGTCATCTCCCATAAATTTAACAGCAACAAAAGAACTGGATTAAGTTGTGTACACAAACGTGTGAAACTAAGCAATATATAATTATATAGAGAGAGAGGAGACGTTTACTTTGCAAACCACGTTATTTATACAAATCGTGCAAACCTCATTCAACCAATCATAAGTTTTATTTTATTCATTTTTTTGTAATTGATTAATCATTTTTATTGTGAAAGGGGTTAATCATGGATATTATCATCTTCATTATATTAATTTTAGAGAAATACACGAAACAGTTTCATTAAAATTTAATACGTATTATATGAATCAACTTTATAACCATATATGAACAACTTCATCAAAAAAAGTATTATATAAAACAATTTCATAAAAAAAATTCATAAGATTAAATAATGAAATTGACGGATGAAGATGGTTTACATTTTATCGCTTCTCTACATATATATATATATATATATATATTAAACAATGAAATCAACGGATGAGAGTGGTTCGCGCGGTTTGTACAAATAAAGGTGGTTTGCATTTGATCGCTCTTCTCTCTCTCTCTCTCTCTCTCTCTCTATATATATATATATATATATATATATATCTTGGTTGGGTGAAGGCAACAAACATGAGGGTTGAAATGTAAACGGATTTTCATTTATTGAAAACACAATTTGTTCGTTTGTTGTATCATTGTATGTACTTATGCATCAATAATTTGATATTACCTATTTGTTATATATGTATATGATAAAACTGAGCAATTAATATTACTCCTAGGTCACGAACAATCAAAGACACATAGTTATTCAAAAGAATGATGCCAATCCAAACCAAACCAAACCAACCCAACCCAACCCAACCCAACCCAACCCAACCCAACCCAACCCAATTACCTATCTTATATGCAAGGGATGGCCAATGGGTAGGGTTACACTTTATAACGGGTTGGGTTGGGAATTTTGCAAACTGCCATAATTAGATTGGATTGTTGAAATGCACAACATAACCCATGTACACCCCCTAACAATCTCTAAAAAACAAAAGGAAGCTAGAATATGTGCAGATCCATTATTCAAGAAAATGGAATTTAGGAAAGGATCAGTACTGGTATTAAAGTGACAGAACTGTTCCCAAGCCAATTTGTTCAAGAAAATGGAATTTAGGAGAAACGTAAGGGTCACTTTTATGTCCAGGGGAGAAAAACTAAAGGAAACTTTCGTGTTGCGTGCGCTTCCACATGAATCCCGGAAGAAAGTTGTCTATCGTACGCTTAGGAAGGACAGGGTTAAATATTCTACGAAAAAGAAAGAAAGCTGATCTCTATCGTTGACGATCTTAGTGAGAGAGAGAGAGAGAGAGAGAGAGCACCCTGAAAGAGATGTAAGAACAGGTCAATTGAGTGGTACACCGTCGTGATAGCATGCGCCATCTGCTCAGCAAGCATGTTACCTTGTCTCCAATAACGACAAGTCTCCAGATCCATAAGCGAACTTGTGACCTAAAACTAGTCAAAATTCATCATCTCCGTTGATTTTTGTCTCCTTTCTTCCAATATCATACCCCCCATGCGCACAATTCTCAGCTTGATTGATTCCGAACTTGAACATAATTCAACACCATAAGCACCAATCCGAATTCGGATTTCTTATTTCGTACTAGATCGATAATCAGATTGACTAAAAAGCTAAAACTCATAATCCAAAGGTTAGATCTAAAAAACCATCGGCATCGCAAATCAATCAGCGTAGAAATCTCAAGATCTTATTACGATAGAAAGTAAAACTAGGCTAAGCAGATTATTCGGTTCCAAACACTAATTCCATGATTAAACTCGCAAGCTAACAATACACAAACAATCATGTTATTAACATCAGCAAAAGAGCTCGAAAAATAACAACAGGTGTATTTGAAATTACCTTACGGTAAGTGGTTCCATCTTCTTCAACGATCCAACCAGCTTCATTACAAAGGGCTTTTAAAACCTCGTTGTTGTCGCAGTGCTTAGGCAGCTTGTAGTTTCCATAAACTCTAAGACCTGCAAATATCTTAGCGGCGATGGCACGCCGCCGCCTCTCTCTACGCTTATTGTTCTCTCTCTCCTTCCAAGTCGGCAGCCTTGTCCCCGACGTCATAAATATAACAACAATAATCCTTCCTCAACTAATCTGAACACAGAAAGATTCAGGCGGAGGAGTAGTCGATGATCGGGAAATGATAAGTCGCCGGCAGACGGCGGAGGGGGAGTGGTTGAGGGGAATAACAGAAGGAAGAGGTTGTGTTTGTGTGAGGGAGAAGGAAAAAAGCATAGACTGCCTAAATGGATTTTAGATGAAACTGATTGCCCATGGACTTCATTGGAATTACGGAAAATGCCACTGATGGTTTAAATAGGAGTTCCATAAAATGCGGATGGCGCACGTGTTTAGCGGGGAAGGGTTTTTCCTAATTACGTTTTTAGTCCTTAGACTTTATTTATTATAGAATTCTATTTGTAACTTATCTTTCTCTGCATTTATATTTTGTACGTCTAATAAATGTATTGAAAAACTTGTAATTTCTCCATTGAATTAATATAAGTATTTCATCTACATCACTAAAAAATATTCTTGAAAAAAGTAATAGAGACACATATTTATGAGTTCGAGTGTTCTCTTAAGAAGTAAACTACAAGTTTGGTCCCTATGGTTTGTTGGAAATAATATTTTTTTTCGTCTCTGCAATTTTTAAATTACAAGATAACAATTTTAATTTACAAAAACGTCTGGATTTAATTCCTTCCTCTAAAAGTCGTTTACACATTTCGTTAAATGATAGACATTTTCGTCTTTTTATCGATCAAAATGAATTTCGTAATTTTGGTTCCTATGGTTTTTTGATCGGATAAATAACAAAAATAAAAATAAAAAGGTGAAAATATCCTCTATTTAATGAATTTTTTTAATGGAAGTTAGAGGATAGACTAAATCCGGACGTCATAGTTTATAAACTAATCATCTTGTAATTTCAAATTTGTAAGGATGAAAAATATTATTTTTGAAAAATTAAAAAAAAACATAGGGACCATTATAATTTAATTTCTAAATGTTTGATTATTTTGCCTAAATGTTTGATTTTTAAATCTACTAGAAGGGTACTCGTGCAATACATCGAGATACATTTTCATTTCAACCTATAATTTTTTATTTTTGAATAAAATATAAATTTGAAAATATTATATAAAATTTGCCAAAAATATATTAACATTAGTATCAAATTAACTATTTAAATTTTTTTATTTGTGTATTTTTTTTAATTCAAATTTTTTATTATAATTTGATTTATAACTTAATTTAGGTTTAATAATATTTTTTATCAATATAATAATTAAATATTCTGTTACAACTCAATAATTATCTTAATTATATTTTAAAACGAGATGTTTATCTTATATTTGATTATGTTTATCCACAATTAGTTACACGAATTCAAATATAGATCTTTAATAAGTTGTACTTATGAATAAAATATAAATTTAAAAATATCATATAAAATGTGCCAAAAATATATTAACATTAGTATCAAATTAACTATTTAAATTTATTTGTGTATTTTTTTTTAATTCAAAATTTTTATTATAAATTAATTTATAACTTAATTTAGGTTTAATAATATATTTTTTTATCAAGATAATAATTAAATATTCTGTTAGAACTCAATAATTATCCTAATTATATTTTAGACTTTTTATACTTTAAAATGAGATGCTTATCGTATATTTGATTATGTTTATTCATAGTTAGTTACACGAATTCAAATATAAAGCTTTAATAAGTTGTACTTATGCACAATTTACTTGTAATCTTGAATTTTAAGTAATACGCATCAATAAACAGTACTTCATGTATAAAAAATGGTTTTTAAAAGTTTTTGTCAAATGCTTTATAATATAGTATTGATTAAGTTATCTTTAAGTATTATTTTTTTTTTGGATAAATCAAAATAACTTGGTGTTTAATTTTTATCCTTGATAAATAATCTGAACAACAAAAATTTATATTTTAATTGTATTTCTACATCAGTGTTAAATAAAATAAATTGTTTAATAAATATTTAAAATGACAAAAAAAAATGAGTTATTTAACATACTATGAATTCAACAAGTTCATAAAACGATACGTAATAATTTAAAATATTTAAAATTATAAAAAAATTAAAATAATATAAATACTATCATAAAACAATACTTAATAACTCAAAATATATTTTAAATAATAAGGTATTATTTTTTATCACTATTTTTAATTCAGACATATCGACAAACTATTTATTTTTTGATGAAAAACGTGTGACTAAAAATTGTAGTTGTGAGTAAATACAACTTATTAAAGCTACATGTTTGAATTCGTGTAACTAACTGCGGATAAACATAATCAAATACAGGATAAACATTTCATCTTAAATATAAAAAATCTAAAATATAATTAGGATAATCATTGAATTCTAACTGAATACTTAATTATTATCCTTATAAAAAATATATTATTAAATCAAAATAATTACTTCGTTATTAAATATAAATTAAATTATAATAAAAAATTGAATTAAAGGAATTACACAAAAAACAATAACTTTTAAATAGTTAATTTGATACTAATATTGATATATTTATTTTCAAAATTTTATGATGTCTTCAAATTTATAATTTATTTAAAAATAAAAATATTATCCATTTCTCAAAACAACATAAACACCATATTAAAACATCTATGTAGACGTAATAAAACGAAACATTAAAATCAAGATATATCTCGCTATATTACGCGAGTACTCTTCTAGTAAATACATAAGACATTTAGGGGCTGTTTACTAAACGCTTACCCGGTAGGTGCTTACCAGACAATTTTTCTCACTGGACGAACATGGCAACGCCCAAGAATCTTACCTGGTAAAAGCGATGATAAGGATAAAGAATTTTACCCGGTAAGAACGATGATACGGATAAAGAGTTTTACCCGGTAAGTGAGGCTGACATACGATACCATTTTAATATACGACAATCTTACCAAAAAAAAAATTATAAAGTTGACTCCTAACAACAAGTACTTACCGGGTAAGTATTTAGGTAAACAACCCTTTATAAAAACTTCGATTAAATGAAATTTAAATCTAAAATATAAATTTGACCGTAAAGATCGACTATTTTGATCGGTTTTTCTTATAATATTTTCTTTAATATAAAAGGGTATAATTGTAATTAGGCATTATATCATATTCACTAGTGTGGGGACAGGAAAAGATGATCATCACCCACGGGATGACACAAAAGTCTGCACGTGCATTGCAACAGTGTAACGCGTTTATTATTTTGTTTTCATACTATCCATTTATTGAAAAATATAAATATAAATATAAATAAAAAAATTCTATAAATTCCACTATACATTAATTAATTTAATTTTGTATTAAAGATGCATAAGGATCGGTCATGGGTTCGATGTTTACGAACCCGATCTCAATGATGCCAAAAATAATGTTAGGTTATCTGAAGACATATCTGATATATGGGAAAAAACTAGTACTGGTCTTAGACCCAATGATAGTTATGGACCAGATTTAATTTTGTTTTCGTTTTTAAAGTTGACTGTTGCTTTTGTGAAAGTAAAACGGGAAACCATCAAAAATAGGTTTTTCATCATGCTTTGACCGTAATGACTTTTATTGGAACATCTGGTTTTAATTTGGTTAATCGTGTGTGTTTAAACCAGCTTGCACAAACCTTAAATGATCTTAGTGGCATTGGGAGAATATATGCACGAGAGGACTGATTAAAACCTGATTGGTCTTAATTCCTTTTTTGTCCAATTCGCAATGTAAATTCGACTTTTGGTTATTTCATGTCTATTTTGAAATAAATGATTTAGACATTTGATCACATTTAATCTCAAACTCACTCATGAATCGCGCATGATATGGAGATTGATCTCGCGCATCTCATCCTAATATGCATTCAAAGATGGAGATATTTTCTTACGCTTCTCAATTAACTCTCTTTTTCACCGAACTCAACCCAATATATATGTATGTGCGTGTGCATGTGTCTATATATATATGCACGTATGTATGTATATATATATACACACACATATACACAAAGAGTAACAATCAAATACCAAGCATACATACATATGACTAGGGGTGCTCACGGTCCAGGTTGATTGGTTTGGAGCCATTTTAACAACTCAACCTAATGTTGGCGGTTTGAAAATTTTCAACCCAACCCAACTCGTTCGGATTGATCGGGTTGTGTTTAAACAATGTAAAATCACATAAAAATAAAGAAAACTTTCCTTTGAAATACGACCGATCATTCAAGATAATATGCAAGTTCATCAAATATTTAGATATTACAATTAAAATGTTTAAACCAAATGATAATACATCAATCAACAACAATAGTTTTAGACGTTTCCAACCGCGATATTTTCGCTTTCTTGACGTTGAGGTTGGTCATGTCATGATTGTCATCTACAATTCAAAGCTAAAGTTAATGTCGAGTTCATCGGGTTGGTCGGATTTTTTTGGGCATGACCCGATTCCAACCCAATAAGGTCGGGTTGGCTAATTTTTTTATCGATCATGCATCGGGTTACCTCGGGTTGGTTTTCTTTTTTTTAAATTCAGGTTGAGTTGGTCGGGTTCAACGGGTTCATCGGGTTTTTGAGCACCCCTACATATGACATGAGAAATAACACAAAAATGGAGAAGTTGGGTGGGATGTGGTATCACCCATTTGGCAAATTCTGAAGACACCAAATAATATTGGACCGCTCATGTGCCATGTTATAATTATTTTATTAGGTTTTACTTGATCTTTAATTTTATTATTATTTCTTATATATAAGATCAGGTTTAAGAAAAATCCGTAAAAAAAAAAAAAAATACTCTAATAACTCGTTCATCTGAATGGTGTATACATGTGCATAAAAGAAATTTATAAGTAATTTATCTAGTACGTACATATGCAAAACATGCACATGTGAATAAAACAAGAAACAACTTATGTTACTCATATGCATTTGTTCATTCATACAAATAAACGGTTACCAAAGTGTTCCTTAATTATATTTTTCCCGGAAGTTTCCCAAAACATACCTCTCTCTTTCCCTTTCTAATAGAGAGTCTTTATCTATACTATATTAATAAGCATTTAGACCAAAAGTCTTAATTGCAACCTATAAAGCTCAAATTACTACCCTTTTGATGCATAATTTTCAAAATTTTATTAATTACAACTTCACATTCATAAGGTACAATTGTTGATGCACACCACCAACAACATCCAAGTTGAAACTTACAACTTTGCTTTATTTTTTTTTT